GTATGAGATCCTGATAAACTATTGACATTTATATATTTTAGTTTGTCAGTAGGAGATTGTAGCAGAACATAGGCTTGACTTTAGCCCCAACCACATTTACTAATATTTAGTCTAAAAAGTATTTGAATTTTGTGTCTATCTAAAACAATCATTTTTATTGCCACCATATAAATTTTTATGTAGTGGGTTGAATTTGTAGCTGACATGCAGAAATCATCTCTGGGGCCCTTCCTTCAGTTAGGTTTTCACATTGGAAACATTCTCAGCGCTCCTGTGCATAACCAACAGGAAACAGTTACCTTAGATCACTGCCTTAGGCTTTTATTCAATTCTATGTATCTCTTTTTTCTCTGTTGATTCATATGCAAGATTTAAATACTTGTTACCATAATTAAAGAATCTGTTTTTATTTAAAATATACTTAAGTTTGTGTGTTTTGTATGTAGAACACAGGGTTAAATCCAGGACCTTCAGTGCGCTAAGCTAAAGTTTTCTACAAATCTAAGTTTAGTAACTCTCTGTAACAGATTTCAGTCCTTATTCACAAGTCAGACGCCTTCTTAAAGGCAGTGTCTGTGACAGTATTGCTTTGATAATTCTTAACATTTACCAATTCAAAGCACAAACATGACCAGTTAGAATTTGAAGTCAAATTGGATTGTTTCATAATCCTATAAATTAAGGATAAATTTTAATCTTAAAGATTTGCAGAAATTGTGTTTAAGACGTCTGCTGAAAGTTGTTTGAAATGTACCACTACGTGCATTTACCATCAACTTTGCTGCATAGACAGAGACCATCAAATGACTTTAATGTTGCTCCTGAGAGACCATTAGGTTCTAGAAAGATGACTATATCCTTCCTGGATACTAATCTCTTTAAGAACACATATCAGCTCTTTGGTTTTCTACTCTGTTCTCTCAGATTAGCAGTGTCTGACAGTATCATGTGTCTTTAGGGCTTACTGCATGAAATGAGTTAGAAACATTAGTGAGAGAGCAGGTATCTCTTTAAGGAATATATGTGAGGCAGAATCTCACTGTTATTTTGACTGGCTTAGAATTTACAGTGAAGACTAGCCTGGGCCGGAACTCACAGTTATCCTCCTGCCTCTGCTTCTGAAGTACTGGAATTAAAGGCTTGCACTTCTACACCTAGTTCAAGAATATCTTTAATATTAAATATGGCATGTTTCTTACTACCAATTTAAGGTAATTTTTCTAATTTGCAAATTTTCCTGTTCTCTCCCATGAATGGTTGTTTAGTGGTGATAGTATACGATTTGACCACATAGACAATGCAGTATTGTACAAACCTGCAGTTAGCATTAGCATCCGCTAGATGGAGATATTGTACACAATAGGTTTAAAAAGGTTCACAATGGTGTGATTGCACGTTTTACCTGTGATATTTAGATTGACCATGTCTTTTAAAATATAGATCTTGTTTTGCCTTTTCACTACATATATTCCAGAAATAAACTTATTCCTTATTGGAAAGTGAGATAAGATAAATATATAAGGATTCCATATACAATTATATCTTTTAAATACAAGTAAAATAATAGAGAAGAAAGGTTCTTCCATTTCAGGGAAAATGAAAATTTTGTTATTTGTGAATAACAGCCCCTACTTCACTTCTAGCTTCACATATTCCGTTGCTTCCTAATTTATTCCGTTTTTCTTGATAAATGTGGAACTAACACCACATGGAAACTGGCAAGGTGGCCTAAATGGTCAAGGCACAGCAGTCTAATGATGGGCACTTTATGAATCAGAAGTGTAGGACATGTGCGTTTGTCCTGGCAGTTAGTTGTTTAAGAAAAGTGTGTGGATGTCTAGTGAACAAGAGTGTCTTTATCTGAAGAAAAATAATCCTTATGTCTACATAATTCTTTAGAGGCAAGCAACCGGTAGCAATCTCCTTATGGGTACACCTTTATATATTTTAATAGTAAGATGGACAAGTTAGGCCCTCCTCTTCGAACTGGAAGACATGTGCAAAGGTTGTATGACAGTGATACAAAGTCAGACAGTGCCTTCAAAAGACATGAGTTATTACCCGTTTACAAGTAAGTATAATGCAGTTGGTTGGTCTTTATCAGATATTTCTTACAGGCTCTATATTATAGACTATTGTAATTTTTAACCTGTGTGAAAGTAATCTTAATCATTTTAAGCCATTTTAGTGCTAAATTTCTTTACAAGTCATAAAATGTTTTTGATTTTCTATTCAAATTAACACCATCATGCCTTTTATTCTACTTAATGTTAATTTTAAAAGATGTTGTAGCAGTTACCTTCAACAATTATTTCTGTGAATGTTAAATATTTTAGGAGTAGTAGCCTTATAAAGAAATATATAGGGCAAGTTACATAGTCAAGCAGATGATGAGCCAGAGGAACAAAGATTCTAGGCCAACAATCAAGTGATTCCCAGGCCTCTCTTAGTTGTTTACAAATGGCACACGAGGAGGCATGACAGTGTCTCTCTGGCCTGCTTGCCATGCAGGCTGACAGTCACAGTCACTCTGGAAACGCCAGGGCATGAGATGTCAGGATTCACACATCTGGGCTTCAATATCTATTCATTTTAGTCCTCATTCTTAAATGAGAAATTAGTGTTAACAAATGGATATCTGTTTAAAATTTTAAAATATTAATGAAGTTAACAGTGGATCCCACTTACTACTCACCATGAATACAGCGATAGATTCCAGCTAGGCATGCAATGAGACAGTTACAGGAGAACATCCTAACATAGCACGGTTGCTTTTAAGTAGTTAGTGATCATTTGTAGAAGACATTGTGTTCTGAGCTTTGAGTTGATGCAGCGATCAGGGGAAATTGTCTAGGAAAAAATGAAGTGTAATTTTATAATTAGTCTACTTTTATATGTTTGAACTATATATAGAACATTACGTTCACATATAGACTTAGGGTAAATACTTACCAGATTGTGTCCAGGAAGAAAATGTTTTGAGTATGTGAGCAACATGTTAAGAATTGATCAGCATAGATAGTTCTTTTCAGTCATTTCAGGACGGCTCTTGAGAATCAGATTTCCTCTCTTAGAAGATATTAGAAAAACAATAGGCGTATAATATCATAACGATTTAAGTTGATAATCTTATATTTTCCTTTAATTTAATCTTTTAAAGTTTGGTCTATTTGCACATGATATTCAAGGTATCTTTAGCTGTGTATCTTAGATGCATTATGTGAGGGTAATGATATGCAAAAAAGAAACTATACTTCCCATTTGAATGACACTCTGGCATTTTTTTTAATGTAGAGATCAACATAGAAAGGCACGATTCCAGCTCTACTTTATGAAAGTGGAATAGAATAAGCCTCATAGATAGACTTAGGGGAACCGTTCGGTTATCTCATCAGTGCAACAAAGCCTTTCTTTGCTTCTTGGAGAAGTGGCTACTCAGAACAACCATTCTGAACTGAAGCATTATGTATGGAATATACGATCTGCAATATTATTCACCAAATTTAAGTACTGATCTGCCCACATAATAACATTTCAGCTTATACAGTCTCTAAACACAGCATCTCCAAGCCGGGCATGTCGTACAGTGTCTAAACCAAAATGTCAACATGGAATGGAATGATACCTTCATTCTTAGTATACTAAGTATTTGGAGACTAGTTAATAGTTAATACATGCATGTATTCTGGAAGTAGTTGTTCAATCTATTAGGGAAATTCCCATCTTACCATATACATAAGTAGAGTAGGGAGAATATCAGCCAAAAATTAAGAACTGCTAAAGAATTTTTCAAGTTTTTTTCCCATTTATATTACAAGATTGCTTGTTTGCAAAATAAACTTAGTCCTTAGAGAGGAGGACGGGACTGATTCCTTATTGACTCTCTGAATATTGACTTTGCAGTATACTACTAGAGTCCCTTTGGTTAAGTTATTCAAGGGCCTTTGCCTCTATTAACCATTTATAGCATGAAGTTATTTATTAGAATTAAATAAAGTTACTTATGCGAAACAGAAAAGTATTTAGTATGTAATATTTACTATTAAAAGGGAACATGTGGGGCTGGAGAGATGGCTTAGCAGGTTAAAGTGCACTGAGTATTCTTCCAGAGGACCTGGGTTCCATTCCCAGTACCCACATAGCAGTTTACAACTGTCTATAGCTCCAGTTCCAGAGTCTGACATCCTTATACAGACATACATGCAGGCAAAACACCATGTGCACAAAATAAAAATAAATCATTAAAATTTTTTTCAAAAGTTAACACACAGTGGCAGTATCAATAGTAGTAATAAATTCAGCATGCTGGATTTTTATATGAATTTATATATTAAAACTTTTCTGTAATGTTAAATGATAAATTTACCAATAAGGAAGGTCAAGTTATCATTATCATTACTATCATTAAAAAAGTTGTTTGGTAACAGTGGAGTTTTAACCTAAAATTATGTAAACTCCACATAGCCTCTCCTGTTAATAGTATATAATAATTCAGATGTCAAAAGTTTGAAAATGGAAACATCTTGTATAGATGTTTCCATCTGTACAGTTGGTGAAATTAAATCTTTTTTTTAATCACTCTAAGAACATTCATAAAAATGAATATTATCATTTAAAGTAGCTAGCAACTTTTTTTTATTTTAACTATATTCTATATTTCTAGGCTAGCAATAATACTTGTTTAATGTTTGCTTAGGAGTTGTCTGTAAACAGTGTCCATGTTGTGAGCAATTATAAATGAGGCTTTTAAACTATAGTTTTAAAGTGAAATTTTCTATGGGCATAAGTAATATGTTATTTGTGTTGTATTTTATGAAGATAATGTTACTCAGTGTATCTTATCGTTAATATTGACTAATACTACTTGTTCTCAGCTTAAAGATATACTTGGATTTATTCTTTCGTACTTCTCTGCAGCCTGCTTTTCTACTGATAGAAAAAAAATCAAGAAGCATTAATTTTAATACTTTTTCAGCATATCTTCACTTTCTCTCTTCCAGAGCTAACATCAAATCTCGAAATACTACACCTCCTAGCCTGGCAAGAAATTCTGTGGCAGGTGTGCTTACCAACAAAAGAAAAACTTATACTGACAGTTTTGTAGCCAGGTACGTTTAGCTTGTTCATCTCATAATTAGCATGCAGATTAATGTATGCCTTCAAATTCTATACACAAAATAGGTAATATGCTGTGTGTGCTCTAGATTTTGCTTTGTTGTAGAGCTCAGTATAGCTTTCAAATGGACAAGAAACAATTGAAGCAGAAACACTGTTTTATTACAGTTTTTCATTGTAAATTCTCAAATACTTCTTGTTCAGATTTACTGGGTTTATTTAGCCTTTTTGGGTTTTTTTTCTTGCATGTTTAAATCAAGTTCAGTATGAACTGTAGATAGACCTTGTAAATATTGCTATTGTAATTTCCCATATTTTCATATTTAGTCCTATCCTGAAAAGACTTTATACACACACACACACGCATGCACACACGCACACACGCATGCACACACGCACACATAGAGAGACAGAGAGATTAACATTTTTGAATGAAAAGATAGAGAATGGAAAAATAAGAATTTAAAGATAAGTTGAAAGTTAACAATAGGTTTGTCCATAGGGGATGTGTGAGCAGTTATGAACTACACACTGTGTTTTGAAATTTGTAATAGTGAGGGGCCAATGGCTATAGAAATGTAGCTCACAGTGTCTATAAAGTAAAAACTACATGGTCTCTGAAAAAGAGTACTTAGTCTAAAGGTCTTAATACATTCCCTAAGTGCTTCATGAGAAAGGGACTAGGTGACATCATGAATAATTTGAGTAATATTCTTACTGTAAACGTGGGATGAGTTTATAGTGTGATTCACTGAAGGCCAAGGACATGATATCCTGTGATGTACTTCAAAATTGGGATGTGTATGTTGTAAAGTGTGTGTTACCTGCTTTATCTCAAGTGTGTAACATGCCAGTTCTCCAGAATTCTGATTTCACGCAGGGATAGGTTCAAATCTTTGATCTTGGGATGATTCCTGAAGCTGAAGTGTAGTGAGGTTTTTGACGTCTTTGGTTTAGAAAGTGGACATTTGTGCATCTGCTATGGAAAGAACTTTAAGACTGATGCTTTGCATAACAGGTGCGAATAACAGTGAAACAAATGAACAACATGTCCCAGCTAGATTCTTGAATAAATGCTGTTTGTCTCTGCTGGGGTTTTGATGCATATCAGATATCAAAGACATGAGCCTCTGTTTCTCGGAGATCTGAAATTCTGAAGTGTACCTTTACTATGATACATATATTTGCAGATGTATATCTCCATGTATTTTGGATCAAGGTTGAAAGTAGGATTATCATTCTCTTATACTTAATAAATTTAAAAAAGTGTATATCTGCACTACAGACTTTAATATTATATGTCATATACAGAGAAACGATCAAAAGAAAAAATTACTAACAAGCAGGAACAGAAACTTTACAGTAAGAAATGTGAAATGTTTTTCCTAAATGATTGATACCTGAAAAGAAGCCTGAACCTTTCTCCTCGACTTTTTAACACTTTTATGTCTCAGGTTGCAACAATTTTGGTTGTAACAGACCTAGATTTCTGAGATATTTCTTTCCTTAGAAAAATAACAAATTGCACAGTCTAAAAATTGTTGGTGAAACACCCAGAAATAGGGGGTGAAAATGAAAATCTGATATATCAGATTTCAGTATATACATATACATATAAATATATATAAATACATAAAATACCAATTATTAAGTAAATAACAATTACTGCTTATTATATTTTCTGAATAGGGGTTGGTATATTGTTATTGCAGCCTTTTCTGCAATAAAAAGGAAATATAGTTTTCATAAAAATTCCACTTGAACACATGAGTGTAAATTGCATGGGAATCAGTTTAAAGATCATGAAAATTTTTGACATAGAAAATTTAATACTTTCAATGATATTGAAGAATATGTAAGAAGATATCTTTCTACAAAATAGAATTTTGTACCAGAAATCTATATTGAAAAGCTTCTGTACCAATGACTAATTTGACATACGTTTTAATATCATTTTCAAATAATTCATGAATCTTGATTAATCATTTTGAAAATATGTGTGAAGAACAAAAGCCTAAAATTAACCAGGACAAGGCAAAAAAAACCAGTATCATGAATGATGTTTAAGGTTACAGTGGATCAGACGGTTTGATGTTAACTCCTAGATAAACAAAGAGAGTGAAACAAAGGGAAAGACGTAAGTGACATGAATGACTGGAAATCTGTCCCACTTTAGAGGAAGCAATGCAGATGTCTAGGGCAGAGTATTCTGCAGCTATTGAACTTGCCCACATGGTGAAAAAATCAGTTATGATGCTAGGCATGTAGACCCGTGATTAGAGCCTTGTTGAACATATGTGTGCTTTAGTATGCATACATTCTCTCTTTCTCACGTTTCTCTCTCTCTCTTTCTCTCTCTCTCTCTCTTTCTTTCTCTCTCTCTCTCTCTCTCTCTCTCTCTCTCTCTCACACACACACACACACCAGTAAATTAATTGCTAGTAAGGTAAATGCCTAAATATGGAAAGTGAAGCGATTAAGATTTATTTATTTACTTATGTATGTATTTATTTATTTATTTATTTATTTATTTATTTATTTATTATGTATACAGTATTCTGCCTGAAAGCCAGAAGAGGACACCAGACCTCATTATAAATGGTTGTGAGCCACCATGTGGTTGCGGGGAATTGAACTCAGGACCTTTGGAAGAGCAGGCCAGGCATTGCTTTTAATCACTGAGCCATCTCTCCAGCCCAGCCATTAAGATTTTACAAAAACAAGAAGTCATTATCTGATAAGGGAAGGGATTTCTTGAGTAATTTAGTAAATACTGATTTACAGCAAAGGATGCATTTGATCATACTAAAATGAAAAAAAAAAATACAGTACTGCAAAAGCCCAAAGTAAATTGAAATCACACAACATAATTTGTAAGAGGGGGTTACTATATCCAGCCAAATGGGTCAGGCCTTTGACATTGTGACACTGTGTTGTCATCTACAAAGTTCATTTTTGAGATCAGTACAGTTGAGTTATCAAAAAATGCAAAAAATGAAATCTTAACAATATTTTAATAAGCTTGTGATTTTGTGTTGAGTCCCATTAACTGTCTTTGTCCACATGAGACCCATGGACACTGAGTAGGACTTGCCTGACAGTGGTGTGTGGGGATTTTCTACAAATATAATATTAAGGGTGAAGCCATAGAATGAACAACTCTGGGGGTTGGTGGGAGTAGAGGACAGGAACTAGCATATGACCTGTACTGGAAATACCAATGCCAGAGAAATGCAAAAGGATATTTAGCCTCACAAACAGGAATGTGTATATGTTAAAGCTATATAGGTAACCATGTCATACTTACTAAAGGTGAACACATGAAAACCTCAGCACAAACACATTATTACAGAATGTGAGGATGAAGACCCTTATGTGTTCCCAGCTGGAGCATACCTTGGTCAGCAATTGTGGACACAATTTAGTAACGCCTAGTGAAGTTGAAAGTTTAATATTATATTGAGATGATTTTTTGTTTGTTTTTGTTGTTTGTTTTTCGAGACAGGGTTTCTCTGTAGCTTTGGAGCCTATCCTGGAACTAGCTCTTGTAGACCAGGCTGGCCTCGAACTCACAAAGATCTGCCTGCTTCTGCCTCCCGAGTGCTGGGATTAAAGGAGTGCGCCACCAACACCTGGCTTATATGAGATATTTACTAATGGGTGTTCGTGTTGAATGTTTACATGATTTTTTTTTTTTTACAGCTTGAATTAATTCTTAATATAGTTCACTGGCAGAAAGCTGGTTTATTTTTCCTTTGGTACTCTCCCTTAATTTGTGTGTGTGTGTGTGTGTGTGTGTGTGTGTGTGTGTGTGTGTGTGTCCCGTTCAGAGAACTTCAATGATTGTACGAACTATTCCTTCTGGAACTACATTCAGGTGAGATTATGGAGTATTAAAACCCACGAGATGCTGATACTTGCTTCATTTTCATCTCGGAGTTTTAAGTCCAGAACAGTTTGTATCCTTCTGCCCTCACCTTTCCAATTACAGGGATGTTAGCATGACCCAGAGATTTTTTTTTTTTTGTAATTTTAGCTAGAGTAATATTCACATTAAGATTTTAGTTCCTGTGTGTTAATTATTCGCTATTCTTCACTGGGTCATGTTAATAACTAGTAATGTGAGTGAAATTGATTCCTGCACTTCTTTCTCTACTTCTGTAGGTCAGATGGAGACTGTACATCTTCAGTTAACGGTGGAAACATTAAAGGCGTTGAGGGAAATTCATCTGGACATTTACCAAAATTCTGCCATGAGTGTGGGACAAAATACCCTGTTGAGTGGGCAAAGTTCTGCTGTGAATGTGGCATTCGAAGAATGATTCTGTGAACAGAATCTCAGAAGCTAAGTGGCCAGGCTAAGAATTGGATGATTATTGCTGCTTTGACACCCAGGGCACTTATAGTTACATTGCGCTAAAGCTATTTACAGTGCCCTTTCCCCTTCTCTTTGGAACATAAGACTTTGGCTGTATAATGTGTCTGTATGTATTTATAATTATATATGTGTATATATTATATATATATATATTCTGTATATAATAAATCTGATTTCTCCAGCCTGTGCCATTCAAAGAAATACTTAAGTACATGTCAGAAAGTAAGCTGATAAGAGACCAGTGTTTTCAGTATTGCTCTCCAGTTGTTTAAATCATTAGTATACTTGCACAGGCAACTCCACTCCCATGATGAGCCTTGCATGCTTTCGGAGAACAAGAAGCCAGAATAGATGCCGTTGTTGGTGCCCATCTCCAGTAGCATCATAGGGGATGGGATACTGGAGATTCTGTTACTAAAGAGAATGTTGTGAGGTCATTTGCCCAGCTGGACTCTTCAGCAACTAGTGTTAAATTCCTTAAAAGAAAAATGATGGAAAGGAAAATCTGAGGTCCATGTTGCTGGGAAGTTCATGGATTATTGGTTACATAACCCAATTAAATTATTAAACATATATTCGTCCTTCTGTGAACATGTAATAATGCAATCTCCTTTTCAGAAATGGCTGACCTTATAAATGTAATTTACTTTGCTTAGAACTGAATGATTAATTTACCTCCATGTGATTTGGACACATTTTCTCTCCGCTTCCAATTGTGTTCTGAGATTTTATTTTCCCTTCTTTTGGCATAAATCCTTTGAAAAGTAGTTTTAGTTTACTACTACAGTCTTTGCAGTATTACACATAATTATATTAAATATAATTATTTAAGATACAGTTTTTCTGTAAAATTTTGTTTGAAAATTTTATTTCTGTGTATGTGTGTTTGTAGGAAATTAATACATTTTAAAACAAAGCACCCTGCCCAACAAATAATAATTGTGGTTCTCATTGATTCTGAGCATGCAGGCGATGCTGTTTTTAGTTTTTAGTCCCTCACGGTTCATATAGTTCTAAGTATTGAAAGAATACCTAGTTTTTCCTGTTCACATGTTCTTTAGTGCTTACTTTTGAAATACCATATATATTACAGAGAAAATGCACTGAAATGTTTTAAATAGCTGACTTCCACAAGCACAGCTCAGTGTAACGATAGCAGTACTGACGGGCAGGCCGCTTTGACATTGTGTTTCCAGAGTCCTGCAGAATGGCTGTGTAGTCTGAACTTTGCCCTACAAAGGGACCTGTAACATTTTACATTGATGGGCTTCCCACTTTCTTGTTTGTTGTTTTTGATAAGGATTGATGTAGAAATTCATTGCTTTGAATTTCATTTCTGAAATTTATTTACTTCTTGTTTTCTATTTTATTTTAATTTCTGAAGGGATTTTAAACTTGTAATGAGTTCTCATTTCATTCTCCTTATTCCTTCATGTTATTAGATTTTCGCTCTTGTTTGTTCCTTTTGGTCATATTGATAATTCAAAACTAAGTAGCTTGAATTAATAGTAATGAATTTAGAAGACTAAGACAATCTGGATTTTCATCTTAGTAATTCCTTTTTGTGAAATCGGTTGCAAATATATGAAGAACTTTTAATTCATTAATTCATCTTTATCTAGCAATGAGCACTATTTCTTTCAGGTATGTTTTTAATTCATGTATTCTTTTATTCTACTTAAAGAATGGATGGATAAATCTTTTTGTTTGTTTGTTTCTTTGTTTTTGTTTTTCGAGACAGGGTTTCTCTGTCTAACAGTCCTGGCTGTCCAGGAATTCTAGGCCAGGCTGGCCTCGAACTCACTGAGATCCACCTGCCTCTGCCTCCGGATGAATAATCACCTCCCAGGAATCATTTTTAAATAAGCAGACAAGTTTGTTTGTCATTGACTGCTACAGTAGCAAGTGTTAAAAGCATACAACCTGGAAATCAGTTCCAGAGCCCAGAGATCACTACATACAGTATGTTGCTGAAATATGCATTTGAAACACGGTACAATTTTTAACAACTTTCTGTGGTCCATTCTTACTCTCATGTTGATGTGTTGTGCAATAGTTTTTACAGTCTTCCTATGCACCATTCATTTTTATTTATTTGCACAATTATTTGCGAGTATGATAGAATGAAAAGTAATTGTAAGGTTAAATTAAAATGGAATATTGCTTATAGATTATTCTAAAAGTTATTCACTTCAAAAAACAAGACCTTTGTGACTGCTGTTGTCTCTTATTCACAGTTTTTTAAATTATAAGTGATATATTCATTTCGAATCAATAAAGACACAGACAAATTATTGGTTGTTATATTTATTGATATCTTTTAGAATGATAGGAACAAACTAGACTATAAATAAAATATTGAAAATTCCTTTTTTTTATATCATAGTTTTTAATTTGTCATTTTTATGGCTTTAAAAAACATTTGTTACAAGTTTTTTTCCCTATCTTTTTATTGATTTTCTGTGGATTTCACATCATGCATTCCAATCCTTTTCGTCTACCTGTCCCCTCGCTTCCACCCTCTTCCCTTGTAACTTCCCCACAAACAAAAAATAAAAGTAAAAACCAAACACAGAGCAAAATCTCAGCATGGAAGCTGTAGTGTGGCCGAGTGAGTCACAGTATACGCTTTAGTCCGTGCATCTGTACTTGTGTTCATTGCAGTGAGTCATTGGTCTGGTTTGAGGCCTCTGGCTTCCGCTACACCCTCAATCCTGGGGCCTCAGTGGTACTCCTCTGGGATGTCTTATTGCTGTCGTGTGTCCCAGAGGTCCTGTAGCTTAGGATCTACACCTTCACATGCTCCAGCAGTTATTAGAAGAGGTGGGTGTTGGAGTGGGCTGCCTTGTCCTGGTCGGGCCTGGGTGGTAGCCGGAATGGTCGGTGTGCCAGCTCTCCCTCATTGTCACCACCCAGGTGAGCTTTACAGCACTGCTCCTGTTCGCTGAAGTACTGTAGCAGACAGAGAGGAGCAGGCCAGTCCTGCTCTTCATACCCTCAGGTTTCAAGGCCCACTCTCTGGGTTCTCCTTCCTGTTCCAGGTAGCAGACAGTACAAGGGAGGGACGCTCTACTGCTCTTAGGCCAGCAGGCCCTGCTCACCTAGCCTGTCAACATGTCAGCTCTGGTTGCTACCCAGGCAAGGTATCCTAGTGTAGCAGTGCTTTTCTTTGGTCTGCCAGCTCAGACATAATGACAGGAAGACTTATTAATTATGAAAGCTCAGCATGTAGCTTAGACACGTTCCTCACCAGCTCTTATAACTTAAATTAACCTATTTATATTAATCTGCGTCCTATCGTGTGGTGTTACCTCTCTCCTGTCCAGGGCCTCCTGTTTCATCCTGGCTGGCATCTCCTGTATAACCAGATTCCTCCTCTTTCCATCCTTGCAAGTCCCGCCTATACCTCCCGCCTGGCTATTGACGGTTCAGCTTTTTAAAACACCAAGATAGCAGTACACCTTCACACAGTGCACAAATATCCCACAACATGCTGCCGCTGTCCTGTGCTGTAGCTGGTGAGGGGCAGGGACATTTCCACTCTTGTGGCCCCAGGGCCAGCTCTCTGACCTGCCGCAGGTTGCAGGGCACGAGGGGAGGGAGAGCATTTTTCTTCTTAGACGATTTTAAGGTGTAGAAAAACATATCCAACAAAACTTTAAAACTGAATGCAGTAATATTTATAGATGAATACTATATAGTTTAATGGAAAATATTTATAATTAATACTTTGTTCACATTCTAAATTTTAGGAAAAGTGCCTCATCTAATGAAAATACGGCTATTAAACACATCTCGTTTGTATTCACTTTTTCTCCTGAGCTAAAGAAGAATGCTGTTTTAAACTAGCAGTAAAATTCTAATAGAAAAAAAAAATACAGACTTCATCATGCTTGGGTATTTACTTAGATTGAACGTACATGTATTTTATATGGTAAGTATATTTTCAGGACTGAAGTCAGCTGATTTTTGAAATGGATTGTCTTATTGAGACAAATCCATCTGAAAAAACATTAAAATTAGAAGTAGTACCCTCATTTTTACTTAGGAACATTTTGATTAAATATTGAAATGCTCCTTATTGAAATACTCTCTTACATGTGAATTGCTCTTGATACCACTAGAGGGTGCTTTTGTATAATTTACTCTTCCTAGCCCCAGTTATCAAGGTTTCTCAGTTTTGATTTTGAAAGGTGAAATTTCAGAGATTTATGAGCTATTTTTTGGTGTTTCTGTTAGTTTTAGAGATCCCTATATTGATACCTTAAAAAGCTAGGCTTACTATTTGGAGCACCACCATGGGAGTAAGTTAAAGCAATAATTAATATCTATTGTCTTTCAATGATTTTTAGCAAAATACCATTTTAGAATATCGCTTGCTCACTATTGTTTTAACGTTTCACCTTAGTTATATGAACATGATGGCTAAAGGTAACAAATTTATATTCAGTTGCTAAGAAAAATTCTTTTAAATTGTGCACAAAATAGTCCGATTTTGTTAAAAGTACAAATAAAAGGTGTGAAACTTTTTTTTTCTATATTTTGCCTGCTTCTACTACAAGACTATTTGGTGAATTTTATTTAAATTTCATTTAAATTGTGGACTTTCTAAATGAATGTAGTATGTGTATACTCTATGAAGCAAATAAAGAGGAAATAAGAGGAAAACTGCAGTTTTCAGAATTAGTCACTCAGGTATGACAATATCTTCTAAAACTCCTTCCATTGAATTCAAGCTTCGGTAGGTATAAGTGATACCTTTGTGATCTGATTAAGCGACTTAATTTTTGCAATGACTTACTGTGAAAAAAAATGCAATTAAACCTAAGTCAGATTTTAATGGAATGAAGAAATTTTCCTGAATTTGACTCAGATTTCTAAGCGGTTTGTTTCATTTTTGGTGCACCCCTTTTTTCCAGTGACTTTTACTTTACTTGAAAAAGAGTTAAACTTTGCTCCAGCAGGTAGTAGGTGTTGCTCTTGCTTCTCTTGACTGGAGTGCTGTGCAGCATTGAAATAATTCAAAAGTTTTTGTACTATGTTTTGTCTCCCAATTATTTGGGTCAAGAAATGTACTTTAGAAAGTAGGAAGTTATTTTGTTTAGTAGTCTCCCCAAATTTACATTACCTTTGGGGAAATGTCATGTAGACCTCACAAGAAAGGATATTTAAATTTCATTTTAAACACTAATTTCTCAAGTCTTAGTAAAGATGCCATCTAAATTAGTTTTTCAAAATAATAAAGCAATTTTAGGATACATTGTACTGTAAGGTAAAACAAAGATGCCTCTTAAGTGAGCATGACACTTCTGCCATTCTGATACTCTGTGCGTTCTGTAAGCCCTACCATAGTTCCCCGTATCTGTAGAATAACGGACTGTCCCTGATACCGTCACCAGGGAGCTCTTTACCATGGATAAAAACTTAGACTCACTTCACCAGTGTTCAGTAGAGGACAGGAAGCAATATAAGAAATTAAGCACTGCCTAAGTAATATGTAAAAGTGAAAAAGTTTGAGCCAGGCGGTGGTGGCGCATGCTTTTAATCTCAGCACTTGGGAGGCAGAGGCAAGTGGATCACTATGAGTTCGAGGTCAGCCTGGTCTACAAGAGCTAGTTTCAGGACAGGCTCCATGGGACCACCTAATCCAACTAGCCTAGTCAGCATGAAAAATACTGTGATACCTAAATTTGCTATGTTTATGAATGGACAACTTTCAAGCATGTCTGTCTGGTTTTCCTAAAGATTCTTTTAATTTATCAATATCTTTTAATAAATGATTGTCTTTAACTAGACTGGTGTCTGCTCTTTTGTATGTAAAAACTTCAGCCAATGTGGTCTTAGTTCACAGTTACCTTCTGCAATGTGTGTGGTTCTGAAACTAACTTAAGTCCATATTGTTTAGTAGAAACTCTAAAATACACTGAATTTAGACACCTTCTCCAACTTAAGTCTGGTGTTTGATAATCATAAATTGAATCTTAAAAACTGCACATGGACTATACTTCTATTGATAGCATAGGAATAATTTATAGATGATTATTAGTATTACATATAAAAATGTTGCCAAGATAGATGATGCTAAACAAGCTCTTTGGTCTACGAGGTTCTTTTGTCTATGTGTTGCTTTCATTGGTTGAATAAAGAAACTGCCTTGACCTTTTGATAGGGCAGCACTTAGGTGGGTGGAGTAGACGACTGAATGCTGGGAAGCAGGGCAGATGGAGAGCCACTATGGAGCTGACAGGTCAGACATGCTGAATTTTTCCCAGTAAGCCATGACCTCGTGGTGAAACACTGATTAATAAAAATGGGTTAAATCAAGATATAAGAGTTAGCCAAACAGAAGAAATAATGAATACAGTTTCTGTGTGATTATTTCGGGTGTAAGCTAGCTGGGCAGGAGGGAACAAAGGGTCCCCCTCCTCTCAACACTCTTGGTACATTATACAATTGATTATATATGTACATTATATAGGACCTATTTAAATACCTTAGGTGCAATGAACAAGGAAGTAAATTGTGAACTTTGGAAATTCTAATGGAGGAAGATTGAAAATACAGATGAATATATAGTTTATAATAGGTTTTGAAGCTGCTGTGGAGAAAACCCAGGTATGGAGTGATTAAGACAGAAGACGGAAAGGGAAGTGAAGGTGAGTTGCATTTTGGTAGGACATTTAATGATTTCATTGAGAAAGTAATATTTGAATACAAGCCTTATGTACCTGTTTATTTACCTTAACTTCTAATTGCTTCTATTGATGATTATTCAATATGCTTGAAGCCTGTGGAAAACTGGTACTTCCAGAATGAGATGAACATTGGCACAAAAGAGATAATTGGTCATAGCAGTGTAGCTTAGTTTATAGAGTGCTCACCTAGTCCACAGAAAGCCTTGGGTTTCCTCCTAACAGCATGAAATGAGCACCAGTGGCACATTCCTGTATTCCTGGCACTTGGGAGATAAAGTCAATAGGATCAGGAAGCCAAGGTTATATTTAAGCCTGTCTAAAGCCAGACTGACTGACGTCAGGTAAGCTGGGAATAAGATGGCATGATTTGAATGAGGCGTGTTCTCGGGTGTCTAGGTGATGAGAAGCAGACATCGTCGTCTTCGCTGCCAGCTGGCTGTGCCACTCTGTGTGGTGCTCGATTTTAGACAAGTACAGCTTACAGATGTAGAGTGAGGCTGCATTTCCTCACCACAGCGCCTCCCTCGGCCCACCAATCGCTCGTCCTCTAAGCACTAGCATTAAAATAAAACACTACTTACTCTTGGCTCAAATAGTTTCTCTTATTGTGGAGGCAAAGTTTAGTCATTGATTATGCTTTGATGTTCTAAACATCCACAAATGAGCATTCCTTTCTTGTCTCATTAACTCTAAGACAGTTTTAAAGGGACTTTCACATGGAAGAGACAGAGAGTCCTCCAATCTGTTATCTTGAGAAGAGTTTGCAACAGATTACATGTGGGTTAGAAATACTGTAATCCTCTTAGTTCCGGTGTCTGTCCTTCAGCAATATTTTTGCTTCCCAATGCCCAGGGTAACTTTATAACTATTTCATATTCATTAGTGCAAGTTCCTATTGGAACAGGACTCAGATTGGCATACAGCAGGTCAATCAGTATGCTCTCTACACAATAGCATAAACTACAAATAACTATATCTTACCGTATTGTTCATAATAACTTCAAAATCCAGGACTCAAGTAATCCTCCTGCCTCAACCTCCTACAAATGTACATTACTATTCCCGGCTGTTTTTATATATGGGTACTGGATGGCAGTTGTCAGTGATCAGTGCACCTACCTGTTTTGTTGTCTTGTGTTACAGTAGCTTCATAGGTTCTATTATTGCCTGAAAATCCAGGCTGAAAATTCTCACAGAAGTAATAGACCTCAAAATACTATGGAGATTTTTACGAGCAGAAAACTGTTTCTAGTCATGTTATCTTACTTTTGTTACAGAATCATATCATGTCCATCTTTAGCAAATTGCATTTCATTATAGAATGTTTTACATAATTACTTAAATGAGTTTTAGTAAGATATTGGAAGAATGCATTTCAACTGTTTATCCGTTAGCCTCATCTTTTTTTGTTTTTGTTTTTGTTTTTTTTCGAGATGGGGTTTCTCTGTAGCTTTGGAGCCTGTCCTGGAACTAGCTCTTGTAGACCAGGCTGGTCTCGAACTCACAGAGATCTGCCCACCTCTGCCTCCCGAGTGCAGGGATTAAAGGCCTGCACACCACTGCCCAACTATTAGCCTCATCTTTGCCCGTAAGGTGCTTAATTGACAGCAAAGATGATACATTCTTTCAGAGGTTATAAAACATTTTAAGCAATTAAGTGATAATTGTTTTTAAAATAAAGTACTAAGATTGATTTTGTCATAATGTGTATTCCTTAAAATAAAGTCCTAAGAACTAACAGTAGCAGTTAAGGATAAAGGAAGTCAGTGCTGCTTACAATTTCAGAAGGGTCTGCGTAGAAAATTTCTAAGTAAGAACTTAAACAGATAAAGGCTCCACTAGTACAAAGCATGATAAAGCCAATTGGATTTAAAGAGAGGCGTGTTTACAGGAAATCCTTAGAGTCAGAACTACCTGTAAGCGAAAGCAGGGCCTAGGAGAAAGATTTCCAGTTCAGGGTTACCATGACTCAGCTTTAAAGGGATTATCGGATGAAGAAAGGTCAGCCACCAGTCAGGACTAAGGCAGAGTTAGGAAGGACAAACAAGTCTTGGTGTTTGTTACTCAGCATGGTGACTAGCCAGTACTTTACATTAAAAAAAAAAAAAAAAAAAAAAAAAACAGCAGAAATTTTGAATGTTTTTCACCAAAAAAAATTAGGAATAATTATTTGAGGAACTAGGCATGCCTCCCTTGATTTGAACATTGCACAATGTATATACACATTAAAACAGCATGTGGTATTCTGACTGTGGTATTGTACAATCTTTTGTGTCCTCTTAAAAAATAATTATCCCGTGAGAGAGATGGCTTGTCCAGTGATAGTACTTGGCACATAAGCATGACCTGAGGTGGATTCCTGGAGCCCACCTGAAAACCCAGATGTACACATTTGTAAACTGCTGGTCTCCTATGGAGAGATGGGAGGCAGAAACAGGAACAGTTAAAAATCTCACCGACCAGCTATCCTGGGAGTAAGTACACAGACAAAAGAGAGCCTCCCTCAGAAACAAGGTAGGACAGGATTCATCCTTAAAGTTGGCCTCTAACATCCACATCATGTGCGTACACACCTGTACTCACATTTGAGCACAAAAAAATCATTTAAAAAAGAAAGCAATTGCCTTAATTCTAAGGAATATGTCATTTGTATATTCCTTGAAGACTTTTAATAGTATTTACTTGTAAAATTTTATAATATAGTGCTATTATTTTGATCTTTTATCAATCGTGTTGACCTTACATTGTGCTACTGGCTTTTATTTAAAAAATGGCATTCAATAATCAAATAGCTCTTTGAAAATGGTGAATTAATGTAAAAGTTTAAAGTTGTATCAAAGAGAGTATTTAAATACATTTTTATAAATTGTGAACCTCCAGTTTATCACAGAAAAAGTTTATCCAGCACATAGACTCTTATTTGTTTTATTTACTTTATTTATTTAAAATAAAATTTTCATTGATGTTATTTTGCCTTTTCCCCCTCTGTAGCAGAAAATGCTCATTTAAAACATTTACATTCATATTTGATTAAAACATTCATAGAGACAATCCTATAATTGTAGACTTAGAATAAAAACATACTCACAATGCTCAGTGACCAGACTCCTTTGTCACTCTCTACTTCGCTAGTAGCTGGGAAACACTGAGGGAAACAGGACATAAAAGTGTGGATTCCTTCTAAAACACTTAGCACACACATTGAATGAACTGTTGGGGCAAAAGTTTTGCCCACAGTTCAAATCTTTTATGAATAAATAGTAAAAACCGAGGAAGAAATTTGAAGAACTTTTAATAAGCATTTAAAACATTGTCTTTATTTTGCCATAATCAGAATATTTTTGGTGCTGATAGGGAGCATTACAGACATCTTGCAGGTTTAGAATTTACCTTTAGATGCAAATGTCCTCAGTTCCCTAGCTAATGGCTTACCCATTCTACCACTTCTCAAGGTAGGGGACAACCACTTAGTAGACCATATTTTATCATGGAAACAACCCACTTAGCCAAGTCCAATAAAGAAATTAAATTTCTTAAAGTATCATTTGTTCTGACAACTGTAAGAACTGTTTTTTTGGCAAACAGTGATTATGAAACAAACTTTAAACAATCAGTTCTCTCAAAACTGTGTTAATGCCAGCTATCTGTACCATGGAGGATGAACTCCATGTGGATTGGGGGAAGAGGAAGAGCAAGAAGGCATGGCCACCCCATGGAACATCAGTGGAACATGTGTAAATCACATACAAACATCCAGCACATGGTTACATGCTGCAGTTGCTGGACAGAGCAAAACAAATTGAGTTCAGCACAAGCAGACTGCAGTCTCTTTTAGAGATAAGACCTCTGCAGTGTGGTGCTCCTCACCCTTACAGCTGAAGAGAGACTGCAGGCCATCGAAAGATGGAAACAGGTATATACATAGGATATACATGGATGTCCTGTAAAAGACAGAAATTTATGTAACAAAAGTAGTGTTCCTAACTGAGCATATTGGCTCATGTCTGCAATCCCAGCACTTTGGAAACTGAGGCAGGAGTATCATAAATTCAAAGCCAGCCTGAGATACAAATGAGAAACTATTACAAAACAAGAAATTGGTATTTCTTCTGTTAACATAGTTGTAGGGTCTTAGTTTCAGGCTATTCTTGGTACTTGGTTAAAAGATAAGTGTTAAATGAAAGTAGCATCAAGTGGCAATTCGGCAGCGAATAAACCTTTGGGATTAAGTGAGCCTGACAGTGTTAACATGAGTTACTTATTTTAAAAGGAGAAACTATTCAAAGTAGGCAATTGGTAGTATTGTATGAAAATATTTTATATAGAGATGTCAAAATTAAATATATACATTAATTAAACGCCTAACATATATTATTATCTTGAAAATATACTTCCCAAGTTGAAAATTGAGTATCCAAGCTTTAGTATACATCAATGACAAAAGTGACTGGATACTAAGGTTCAGTATCTTTGGAATAAGTGCATTTCCATCTTTAAAAGTTCTTTTATTTAAAAAGATGTGCTATGTTCTTTACTGAAGGCATGTGTTATATGTTCATGTTTAACTACAAGTTTTGATATCTGTCTTAAGTGTCTTAAGCTTTTTTTTTTTTTTTTTTTGCCGCTGCTGTTTTATGCTGTGACTGTCTTGTTTCCATGAGCAGTTTTCATCACTGTGATCCCTAAAGCATTTCCAGCTTACAAGGCAACAGTTCCACTCTTCAGATGGGTCAAAATGCATGGTGGGCCATCACATCATTTTGATGAGAAAACAGTGGTGACTTTGAATTCTTGTAGACTTTATTTTTGTAGATACGTTATCTTCTAAAATATTTGGGAAACTTTAAAAACGTATTGCAGATGGCACGATTGCTTTACAACATCAGTACAGCTGATCTCTGTCCATATGTATATTCTGACTGTATTGTTTGTGTCCATCTTCTAGTACCTTACTGTGCATTTCCCAGGTGCTCTGATCATTTGGCCAGGAGACATCCAGCAACTTCCAGGAGGATTCCAACTCTTCCATTGTAGAAACTTGAGGTTGCAACTTCATCTACATGTCCTACGTTTATATGCTGCCTTTCAAGATTTTATTCCAGCAGGTCTTTATCTCTCTCAGCAGTCTCTTCAGGAAACATGGGTCATTCTTTTTCTGGTCCTTTAGATTCTTTTCTTCCTAAAGAAATAAATCCATAAAATTTAATTTACTATTTTAATAAAATGCATCTCAAAATATTTGCTTTTCATTTTTCATCATATTAGAGTATTCCTAACATTTCGTATATTAGGATGGCAACTCTTGCATGCCATCTTAAAACTATGACCTATGATGATTATGATTTCTGACGAACAGGAAAGGCCAGTCTACTTGTGCTCAGCATTTCATTTGTCGCTTTCACCCTGCGTCAGTGTACACAAGAGTTGAAACATTCATAAAAGATATAGTTTTTACATGATTTAATTGAATATGTAAAAAATTCTAGTGAAAGTATTCAACACCAAAAATAATTAGATTAATAATAATCTGTCTGATTCAACTGGTACCTTATTGTCTGCTACAAAACATAGTGCTTACTAAAGTAGGACTGCTATCTGCCTCATAAGTTGGTTTTCTCACCTCATTAAGAACTTTTAAATGCTATTGGTACAGTGTAGAGAAGAGGTGCCTGCATACAACAGATTCTGGAGGGTGGTGGCCATACTTCCTCTGAGCCATGTGGCATGGTATAATGAATGATTCCTCACTTAGTGAAGAACCAGTTATTGAATATTTTCTAGGACAGATATTACTCTCAGCACTCCACATATTTTACTTTCTTCTCTTTACTTGATAACCCTATGACCTTGATGATTTCACCTCTGTCCAGAAATGAGGATACTAAGTCACAAAGAGGGAAGAGCCAGTGGTGACGCAGTAGTAATGGCTACATCTTGAACTCATCTATTTTTAATTTATTCACAAATTCATATCTCTACTAATCATATGCTTAAGTAATACCAGCATGTAGCTTTTAAATAACTTCAAAGAGTCGATAACAGATTTTGAAGATAGATAGGAGGAAACTTTTTTTCAGTGGGGACAACAGAACATTCTTAAAGTACCGTGGAAGTACACTTAACTAATTTGCTATACTTGGATAGGAGAAATTAAGTTGGTACTTCATGGTATTAGTGTTGGTATAGTACACAGCCATAGGTTTTCCATCCTTGAAAACACTGCATTTGAAGTATGCTTGAAGACTATGAGGGGACGGCACTGAACATGTGTACACTCTTTCTTGTGATTGTTCTTCAAACTGCACATCATAACAACTAAATATTTATTATTTACTTTCCTCTTGGCATTTTAAGAAGTCCACATGCAATTTAGAACATATAGGAGGATATGTGTAGGTTATATACAGAAACTCCATCACTTTCTGTAAGGAATGTTAAGCACTGGCTGTATTTTGTGTGTGAGGAGATTTCCCCACCATTCACCATGAATGGTGTGTACAACAATACATAACATGGAAAAAGTTGGTGGGGAAAAAAACATGCTTTTATCTCTGAGATTCTGCAGATTAAAATATTCTAAACTTTTCAAATTCTTAGTCTCAGGCTCTTTGCACCTTGCTCCTGTCTCACATATTTGTGTACTTTGAATTTTGTAATTCAAGTTGGAATGCCTAGGATTTCCTAATGCCCAGTGTATGCAAACTCACCTACTGCCTATGCTCCGTGTGTGTTGATCAAAACAACAATAATAAGAAAGAATCCATCACCCACAAGCCAGCATGCTCATTGTTCAATGTCCCAGACTGGTTAGGATTTTCAAGCAGATTCAAATGGACTTTCTGACTTTGTAGCCAGGGCAAGAGAGCTTCCCTTTGAAAGGAAATGACATCATCCTAACAGAGATGATGGATATTTGGTTCACAGTAAACAACCCACGCTTACCTTGCTTGTGCAGTTCACTAGTGTCTGTGTGCCTTGGGAAACTTTTAGTAAGTGGATATTGAATTCTTCACTGATATTCATTTTAAGAAATTGATTTAACTTGCGAGCAGCACGATTTAGAAAAGCAGCTTCCTATTGGAAAAGAAATCAAAAGGGCTGGGTAAGAATTTTTAGTTTGTCAATTAACATAAAGCTAGAGCCCTATCCCTTAGTAAAGCCCCGCCTCCACCCCAGCTTTCTATTCTGGTTAATCACGTGACTGACAAGTAACAGGAATGAAACTGCTTGGCTCTGAGGAATCAGAACATGAAGTGCCTACACTTTGGTTTAATGATTATCTGGCTTTTAAATAGTCGTTTCTCCACTACGTACATGTGGCTTTATTGTTTGTGGGTGAGCACATTGCAAGACTATATACTTTTAACAGGATAACCAAAGAAGAAGGCTGCTGGAGGCACGAGCGAGGAAAGGTATGTATGGGTTGTCTTGCTACCATTTTTGAAAATTAGAGTTCTGGAAGAATAGCTGATAGTAATATAAAAAAAAAGAAAGAAAAAGAAAAGCCGTGTAACCTAAACCATAGGCTTTTCTGATAAATTAGTTAATAAATGAAAAGAATTGATGGTTTTGTGATACTGTGGTGTTAATAGCTATGTTTTGTAGGAAGAATATTAAAGAGCATCTCTTTTTCTTTGGGGAAAATTACAAACTTAAAAGTTTTTTTTTCATTATAATTGACCAACTAGAGTTGATTTGTGCATAAACTTCAGCAAATACTAAAACAAAAATTTCAAGTTGTCTAAAACTAGTGACTTGGTGTGTGTGTGTGTTTGTGTGTGTGTGTGTGTGTGTGTGTGTGTGAGTGTGTGCATTGCAATCACTTTAACAAGACCATACATTTTTTGGTGGAGGAGACATTTGTGCCTTAATATTCAGTTTTTAGTATTTTCAATGTAAAAAACAGGAAAGTAGAAGAACAAATTATCTACTTTTTAATCTATCATAGAGAGGATATTGGTAAAATTAACATACAATAGACCACAGTATAATATAATAGATGAATAATAATCCTGTCATTAAGATAAAAAGATTGTGGCATTTATTTCATTATCTAACAAGTCTGTACAAAATCAAGCTCATATGATAAATTCCAAACTATCATTACCTTTGCATCATCACATGGATGTTTTTTAAAAAAGTTTGGTTCTTTATTTGGGCAATTTTTACCATTTCCTGTCATTTTGTCCTGTAATAAATAATATAAAACAATATGGTTAACACTGAGGATGTCCCTAGCATAGTTGCAAAATGACATTTTAATATCCGGTATTAATATGAGCACTTTATGGAAGGTAAATTTGCCTGATTCTACTAACAAGGCATCAAGAATAGTGTTCTTTACATGAAAAATAAGGAAACATGTACAGGATCACCTCAAATAAGATTCAGAAACTTTTAAGAACAAGTTGAACTAGCTCTGTCCAACAAACTAGCAATACCAGGCTCTTGTACTTTTCCAAGACTCCAGACGGCTTTAGTCGGGTTGATATTGTGGAAACAGTAAACCGAGCAAGGACAAGATTAGTAAAGGGCTTGTGATGTTCGTCTGCCACTCAGGAAAGTGTAGGTTGTTCTTATTGCTCGCACAAAGGATGAAAGCTTTGCTGGCTTCAAAATACATGTTTTACTCTTTTACCCATAAACAGTTGTGCCTGAACACATAATTGTTTAAAGATTCTGCACTTAGTGATGGCCCTTGTTCAAAGTTTTCTGCGCACCCTGAATTGAAGCTCATTAGGGAATAGTGACCTTGTTTCCTGTGGTATTTGGTGCATGGGTCACTCCTTCTTCGAGCATGGAAATGTCTCACCTTTGGAAAAGCATGCTTTGGAGATGTGTCTGTGCCAGCCATGCAGTATGTAGTTCATGCTCTAAATATGACAGTTGCAAGACATGTAATTCCTAAAACTATCCTCGAATAATAGATAAACATAGTAAGAAATTATTTGTCTATTAAGTCATTTTTCTATCACCTTTTATTCAATCACAAGAATAGCATCAATTTGTATATACAGTTTTCTTTGGTTACACATAGAAAATCTCATATGAAATACATCACCCAGTTAAATTCTTGAAGCATTCTAGCAAATTTCATAACAATATTTTAGAATCCTTTTTGGTTGGACCAATGCTCTGGAAAACTAATACAATTCAGCTTTGTATGCCTGCAAAAGAGGATGCTGTACTGACTGACTTGCTTGCCACAAGTTTGACCAAGAACTATGGCACTATACTTTTAACAAGGGCATATAAGATGTCAGAGCTGCCTTCTAAAGCTGTTGTTATTCAAGGCCATCAAGAGTTTTAGTATTCAGGCATCTGTACTGGCCTGCCTTGGGGTCCTGCAGGATACATCCTCAGCTGTAGCCACTAAGAGTACCTCCTGTGTACATTCGTTATGTTTCTTTTGTTGTTGTTGTTGTTTTGTTTTGATTTTTTTGGTTTCTTTTTTTTTTTTTCTTTTTCTTTTGTCTCTTTTGCTGTCCTGGAACTAGCTCTTATAGACCAGGCCTCGAACTCACAGAGACCACCTGCCTCTGCCTCCCAAGTTCTGGGTTTAAAGGCGGGCCACCACTGCCTGGCTCATTATGTTCCCTTTTAAAAGGTAGACCTTAATCCTGTCTGGAAAAACCAAAAAAAATAAAAATAAAAAATGGGGGGGGGGGGACCTTGCCCAACTCTCTTCTCTCTCTCTGTCCAACCCCCTCTTCCCTTCTGATCTCGTATCCACAGAGGTCAGTCTCCCCTCTCCCCTCCCCCCTTTTCCCATTCACTTTCCCCAATTAAAAAAATCCCTCCACGTGAGCTCTGACACGTGGCATCTTTCTCTTTCCCACCGCGTTTTAAAATAAACAACAAAGAGCAGTTTTGCGTTTGAATCCATAGCAAAAGGAAACAGTTCCTTTCTCGTGATTTAGCAAGTACCAACACAACAGATTCGTATAGGCATTTTGGTTCATTTCAACATTATTCCAAGTTTATTTTAAATTTGGAAAACCCGTAACAGAAGTGCCAAAACATTGTGAGCTATCGTTTGATTTTGTTCCTAGAAAAGGTCTTTGATTTCATTAGGTTGTACCTTTCAGTTTTATTTCTATTACTTGTTTAACCCTCTTGTCTTAATTACTCTTTGTTGTTGTGAAGAGACACCAGGATCAACACAGCTCATTTAAAAGACAGTATTTAAGTGAGGGGCTTGGTACAGTTTGAGAGATTTAGTCTATGATTGTCATGACAGGAAGCAGACAAGACAGGGCACTGGAGTAGTGACTGGGAGCCTCACATACTCATCCACAGGCAGCAGGCAGAGACTAGGCCTGGCGAGGTACTTGAAACCTCAAAGCCCTCCCTCACCTCTCCAACAAAGCCACAGCTTCTAATTTTTCCCAAATTATTCCACCAACTGGGAACTAAATATTCAAATATATGAGCCTATGGGCAGGTCTCATTTAAACCACCATATTCCACTCCCCAGTTCCCATAGGCTTGGAGCCACCACACAATGTTAAGTGCATCCAGTCCAACTTCAAAAGTCTCCATCGTCTATGAGCCTCAGGACTTTTAACATTCAAAGTCCTGAGTCTCTTTAAGACTTAAGGCAAATTCTTAATTGTAAAACCCTGTAAAGGCAAAAATCAAAATACTGATCACATACTTCCAACACACAGCAGCACAAAATATACATTACCAGAGCACAACGGAGAAACAGGAACATGTTAATGAACCACTGGACCAAAGAAGGTCTGAAACCCACGAGGCAAACTCCAAATTCTGTATCTCTCTGCCCAATGTCAAAGGGCTGAATAGATAGCTGTTCCTATCTCCTACACCTTCCAGCTTTGCTGACTGAAAACACCCTTATCTTTCCTGGGCTGGTTCCACAGCCTGTGTTGCTTCTCCTCATGACAAGTACCCGAGGCCATAGCTTCTCCAGCATTTTAGCATCTCCATCACAACCCAAGCTTCAACTTCACGGCTTTATGCAATGACTTCCCTGGGCCTCTGTGCAAGGACGCCCTTGCCACACGCCTCACCTGAACGGCTTTTCTAAACCACGGAGGCAGATTCCATAACCCCTTTCCTGTATTTTTCTTGACTCTAAAGCCAGAAGAACTACTGTTTGCTGGGGTTGGAATCTGACTGTAAAGCCAGAAGTTCTCCTACTTGCTGGCATTGGAACCTGGCTCCTCCTCGAATTACATTTGCATAAACCTTCCCTTATTCAGCCAAGGAAATTCTTCAGACTTTTCCTTTCACGCCTTTGCAGGATTAGCTGGGAGGGGCCTTGCCTGGAGGTTACCACTCTCTTTATTCTGTTCAGCATCAGGCCTTTAAGCTTCTCATCTGCTTGAGCCCCAATACTAAATTTCTTGGTTCCTTTTTCCTCCTCAAACTGTGCATTTTGTATTTCTCTTTGCAGTGTTTTCTTCTCATCGTTGTAGATATGCCTGAGTGATCACTTGGCACTGTCGGTGCTACGCCATCTTGAAATCTCCTCTGCCAGTGCTATTAATTCAAAATTCTTCAGTTTAGCCTCAGGTGAATTTTTTTGACAAGGGCAGAAAGCATCTACACTCTTTGCCAAAATATCACAAGAAGGGTCTTTAGTGGAACTGGTGTTCTCTGAAATTACTTGAGCAATGCCCACATAGTTCAAATTGTCCTCAGTTCTACTGTCTTCCATGTTTTTTTACTACAATGGCCTATTAAACCCCACTTAAACATTTAACTGACTTTTCTTGTCCAAAGTGTCACTGTTGTCAACCTTCCAAACAACAGCATGGTCAGGCCTGGTATACCTTTATTTACAAACACTGATCATAGACTATACCCTCTATATAATTTTGAGTATATTTATTCTTTGATTACTTTGCTTTATGTATGCTTTTCTACAAAATATTACATATGATTATTTAATGAGGCTCTAATTTCCAATTTATATTTTAGTCTTTATTTTCCCCTGAAAATCTAAGGAGCTCAACATTTTTCCAATTTTTGCTTCTCTAATATTGTATTAATCTGGGCTCGTTTTATGTTAGTTTCTTAAAGAATGTTAAGAAGAACAACTTTAGCATTTTCTACTGCTTTTATGGGTAATCAGTTTGTTCAGTGTTTGCATGTAAGAGAGTACATCTGTGTGCTTAAAACAGCATATGTCTGGAAGATAGAGGAGCACTCTTGGGAGTTCTTTCCTGTCAGCCATGAGACCAGAGACTAAACTCATGTCTGTAGGCCTACACAGAAGTACCTTTACACACTAAGCCATCTCATTGGCCCTAATCATTTTACTTAAATTCTTACAGTTTACTTAGTTTATGTATTGTGTTTGTTCTTCATTTTTGGAAGAATCAATACATAATAGTTCTGACTTTCTATGTGGAGGCTAAAGCTGGTTAGATCATTTTTCATCTAATACTTAGAAGTGCCTCCCACTTCATGGGGGAATGGGCCCACTTCCTGTGGCTGCTCTAGCAAATTACCAGAAGCATGTGGGTTCAAAGAAAGAAAGAAAGAAAGAAAGAAAGAAAGAAAGAAAGGAATGAATGCTGTCACATTCCTAGAAATAAGAAATTTAAAATCAAAGTATTGGCTGAAGGTTCTAAGGGAGGATCCATACTCTGGTTCTTCTATCTACTGCTGCCTGCCAGCATCCCTAGAATTCCTACCTTATATTTGTGTCTGTCTCTGGTGTCTCAGGTTTCTGTATTATAAGGACATGTATTATAAGAACATAGCTGAGTTCCTCTGATTTGTCCAGTATAATTTCTCCTTGTCAAATCTTTGATTTAATCACATTTTCAAGGACTCCTTTACCATAAACTTCCAGGGACTAGAATTTGGTATGTTTGAGTGACATAATTTATTGCAGAGAAATAATTTTTTTTGCTCATAAATATTGGATTTGATCTAAAGACTGAATCTTCAGTTGTAGACATAAACAGATTAGACCAGAGAACACTTCATTTTTGAAAATGGCCTCTTCCAATTTTTATGTATGGGGACAAGCAACAGGAAGCAGCTGGTTCATAATCTATCACTTCATAATAAATTTTAGTATAGGTAGCATAAATAATAAAAGTTTTGTGATTTCTGAAGGTTAGAATTTGGGAGAGCCTTGTGGATCTACATCTGCCTTGAGACAGTTAAGGTGTTGGCCTTACCTGTAATCATCAGGTTTTGATTAAA